TCTATCCTCCAATAGCTGTTTATATCTTACCCTAACTGCCTCCTCTTTTAGTTTATAAACCTTCACCTCTCTCTTCCCTGATGTTCTATTCTCCTTGTATCCATCTACCTTTTACTCTCAGTGTAGCTACAACTAGAAAGTGATCTGATATATCTGTGGCCCCTCTATAATCATGTACATCCTGAAGTCTACTCAACAGTCTTTTATCTACCAATACATAATCCAACAAACTACTGTCATTTTGCCCTACATCATATCTTGTATACTTATTATCCTCTTTTTCTTTTAAAATATGTATTACCTATAACTAAACCCCTTTCTATACAAAGTCAATCAAAGGGCTCCCATTATCATTTCACCTGGCACCCCAAACTTACCTACCACACCCTCTCTAAAAGTTTTTCCTACTTTAGCATTCAGGTCCCCTACCACAATTACTCTCTCACTTGGTTCAAAGGTTCCTATAACATTCACTTAACATCTCCCAAAATCTCTCTCTCTCCTCTACATTCCTCTCTTCTCCAGGTGCATACAAGCTTATTATGACCCACTTTTTGCATCCAACCTTTACTTTAATCCACAAAATCCTTGAATTTACACATTCATATTCTCTTTTCTCCTTCCATAACTGATCGTTCAACATTACTGCTACCCCCTTTCCCTTTGGTCTAACTCTCTCAGATACTCCAGATTTAATCCCATTTATTTCCCCCCCCCAAAACTCCCCTACCCCCTTCAGCTTTGTTTCGCTTAGGGCCAGGACATCCAACTTCCTTTCATTCATAACATCAGCAATCATCTGTTTTTGTCATCCACACTACATCACGCACATTCAAGCATCCAGTTTTATGAAGATTTTCTTCTCTTTTTAGTAAAAAGTCTACAGGAGAAGGGGTTACTAGCCCATTGCTCCCGGCATTTTAGTCGTCTCATACGACACGCATGGCTTACAGAGGAAAGATTCTTTTTCCACTTCCCCATGGACAAAAGAAGAAATAAAGAAGAACAAGAGCTATTTAGAAAAAAGGGGAAAAAACCTAGATGTATGTATATATAAATGCATGTGCGTGTCTGTGAAGTGTGACCAAAGTGAAGTAGGGTATAAAGTTATCCCTTTATTAGCATTTTTATGGAGAAAAAGAAACCAGCAATCCTACCATCATGAAAACTTTTAAGGGTTTGTTTCCAGGCTTGGCAGGACGGTGTACTTCCCCTGGGTGGTTGCTGCTCCCAACCTACTTCATAGTTTTCCCGTTCTTTTGTGCCTGCAATTGCAAAATAAGTCCCCATGGCCCCAAAGAAAGCTTTAGTCCCAGCCCTTGGTAAAAAATGTGAGAAAAAACATTAATTTAAAAAAAAGTTTGTAGAAAAATACGAAAGTGGTGGTGGTAGGTGGTAGCAGTTGTGATAGTGGTAGGGGTGGTAGTGATGGTTTGGTTAGAGGGGGGTGGGGGTTTTTGTGTGGTTGTGTAGTGGAGAGGGTGGTAGGGGTTTGTGATGGTGGTAGAGGGTGCCTTCTTCAGGATTCGGGTTTAAAAATTTCTAATTTGTTGGAGTTACATGGCTACGAAAACACCGCTGCCTCAGCGCTGCTTTCCACCATTATGGATGGCTTATGTCTCAGTGGCCCTTATACCCCCAACAACAACACAAAAAAAAACACCTCTCGTAACATAGTAAGCTTTTTTTATTTTTTCTGAGTATATTCCATTTCTTGTTATTTTATTGTTTTTTAGTCATTATTTGAATTGTGTAGTAAATAAGCCGTAGAGTTGATATTAGTGTCTATTCTCCAAAAATAAACTCGCCTCCCCCCCCTCTCCCCGTCTGCATACCCAAAAGGTTTTTCAATAAGGAAAAGTGTGATGTTAAATGTTCATTTTCATTTTTTTGTGTTTTAATTTATTGGCATTCTTTTCTGCATGTAAATCATTTTTAAGCTGGGGCGGGGACCCTAAAGGGGGCCCTGAGCCCTTATGGAGGGGGTTTTCCCTTTCCCAAAAATAACCTTCTTCCCTTCTCCCCCCTCCCTGTTTTCCATTCATAAAAAAAGGGCCCTTCAATAAAGGTAACTGTCAGTTGAATGATCTTTTCTTTTGTGATGTAAATCTTTTTTTTTAAAGGGGTTTAAAAAAATTTTTTTTTTTGATACTTCTGGAGTCTGGAACGAATTAATTGGATTTACATTTTTTTTTTTTGGGGGGAAAATGGATTGCAAATGTCAATTTCGATAATAGCACACTTCTGGAATAAATTAAATTTACAAAAAAGGGGTCCACTGTATTACAATAATGCAGTAGTAGTCTGCATAATGGTAAATCTTCTATTTTTTGTGTGAATAAAAATTCAAAATGGAAAGTAAAAGTAGAAATAAGGGGGCCTGGGATGTGACTAATGAACAGAGAAAATTTTTTTTAGTGCGGATGTTGCTTGTTTATTCTGGATCCTTTTTTGAAATTGGCATCTTTTGAAATTTGTGTGAAATTAGCCAAATTGCCAATTTCTGACCACTTTTTTGGGTAGTTGAAATAGGTGAATGGGCGGTTTCTTGTACTCAGTCTACAAAATAGAAGTAAGAAAATTTATTAGGTATTAAAATACAGTTCAGAAGTAAGTAAATTTATTCGGGTATTCAAAAAATACAGTTCAGTGGCCCCCCGGTTTTTTGGCCAGTGCAGAAATCATACAATTTGGATTTCAAGAATTTTTTTTTCAGCAAAATTTCCCCTGGTTTGTACATCGCTTGGGAAAAATCACGGTACCGAATATTCTCCCTGGGCTGCTCTTGCATTCGTGCTCACTCTTGGGCCCTTTTAAATGTTTTTTTTTACATTAATACATGTATAGGCTTTTCATTAATCCTTTTCTGATATTTTCTTCCAAAAAGTAAAAAAAACGTTAAAAAGCATATAAAAATGCAATGCTTTTTATGTGATGTATGTTTTTTAATAATAAAACCTCTTGGGGGACATTAAATGTCCTATTTTAGGTTAATTAGAATTTTCATTAATCCATCTTGTATTTTCTTCAAAATTATCTAAGAAAAATGTTACATAGCATATAAAAATGTAGTGTTTATATGCTATCCAGGGGGTGATAGTCAGTGGAAGGGGAAAAAATTATGTTTTCTCTGTTTGCTTTAGAGAAAACGGTATGTCTGTGTTGGCCAGTAACCACCTTAATAGTACGTAAGGGGTTTTGTTTTCAATTTCCGGGAGAATTATTCATTACTTTCCTTTGTTTATGTGGCATCTAAAGGTAGTTGTTTGAAATTTTTAAATCGGTTTAAAAATGGATGTCAGTGGTTATAATTGGTTGTAAGTGATATATGTAGCCATTTGGTATACACCTGGGATGGTCCCCCTGGGACCTCAAATTACTACTCACCAAAAAAAGAGTTTAATAAATTTTTTAATGTTATTATCAAAAATTGTCTTTATATTTATTTTCTTGAAACTGTATGTACAACTTAGTTATTTTTTTAAAATCTATTTTTCTTATATTTTTGGGTGTATGAAACGGATTAAATTTGGGTTTTCATTTTCTTATGGGAAATGTAAATTCGATTTTCGCCATTTCAGATTTCGGCCCAAACCCTTTTGGAACAGATTAATTTTGAAAAATGGGGTTGTACTGTAAATAGATTATCTACATAGCATTGTATGTGTAGGAACCTAGGATAACCCCAAAAAAATCAAGTGATTTATTTTTATTGGGGTCCTTAAAGACCTTGTGTAAACAATGGGTTTTAATAATAATAAACCAGCTGCCTTTTTTATAAAAAAACCAGAAACAAAAGCAGATTTGCAAGAACCCTTTCAAAATTGTTCTTGCAAGGTTGCATGAGGGGAAAAGGTTTTTAGTGCAAAATTGTATAACCTTGCTGAATTTAAAAAACACTACAGAAGGAATACTAGTGAAAAAGCATGAGTTTGGTTTGACGGAACAAAGGAAGGGCCAAAAAAGGGGGATAAATTGGGGGAAATGCCCATGCATAAATATCGCGTTGGGTTAGTGCATTCTAACCTAACACTCTGTGATTCAGCAAGATTACTAAACCCGACCCTACAGGTCCCGATTTATGCTGGTTATGATGGCCAACTGTACTAGAGTAAAGGTTTGTTGAAATCCTCTGATGCCTTCTTTTTGGGTTATTTTTTGTCAGGGGCAGAAGGGCTTCCTTGTGAATAAGACAAACAGGTGTCTCTACACTGGGGACTAAGTGAAAGTAATTTCAGGTGTTGATCAGACACATTGAGCCATCAAACAAAGAAAAAATGTTGAGCACAAAGTATTTTATGGCCATAGCCAGGGCAAAAATATTGGTAAAGCTTGTTTTCAGTTATCTTGGCCCCGAGCAGTTACCAAAAAATAATTATTTTCTTGCATGTCGTGGATTGGGGAATACTAAACCAGTTAAAAAATGGTTTTATGTTCATGCTTTGTTGTTCGGTATTCTAAAAATATACCCCAAAAAATTTTCCCACTATTTTCATGCTTGCTATCTTAAAAACTACATAGCCTTTCGTAGTTTTTGGTTTTTTTTGACTCAGGGACAGACTTAAAAGATGCAAAAACCCTTTCCCCCCTCAGTGAACACCTGAAATGGTATGCATATTTTGCACTTTGCATTAGTATTGTACTCTTCCAGTTGTAATGATTAAAAAAAAAACAGTGCACCCTGTATTTATGTATAACAAATAAAATCCTTGTTACTAATCCTGGCACAAAAGTAAAGTTATCAATAGATGCATAGCCAATAAAAGAGCTAATACTCTTCTAGACACTGATAACCTAAATTATCTTGCTGTTTGTGGGCTGGCTACATCAGGTGGGGTAGTGGCTTTGATGAGAAGTTTAGCTTGGGTCACTCAGAAACTGAAAAAAAAAAAAAAACCTTGGCATATATTTTGGGTGCTACTGGTAGCAAGGTTGCTTGAAACACTGTCTTTAAAAAATATTTCAATAGGCATTAATCACCTTTGTATGAAATCTTTCAGATGATTCAGTGTACTTGGAGGATGAAGCAGAGAGTCAGGAATATGTCCTCAATGACTCTGGTCTTATCTGGCGTGGCACAACCTCACGCTTGAGGCCTTGCCCATGGAATTTTGCCCAGTTTGAGGAGCATATCCTAGAATGTGTGCTGTATATGCTCACAACTGTATGCAAAATGTCTCCTGCCAACAGAAATGATCCCGTCAAAGTGACCAGAGCAATTTCTGCTGGGGTTAGTTGTCATTAGATAATTGTCAGTACAGTGGATCCCCGGTTTACGATATTATTTCATTCCAGAAGTATGTTCAGGTGTCAGTACTGACCGAATTTGTTCCCATAAGGAATATTGGGAATTAGATTAGTCCATTTCAGACCCCCAAACATACACATACAAACGCACTTACATAAATACACTTACATAATTGGTCGCATTGGGAGCTGATCGTAAACCAGGGGTCCACTGTATATTATTTTATTAGGGACTAAAATTGGTATTTGATTTATGTTTGTCTTTTATATTTATATAAATTTTTATTCTGTAGTTATAAGTACAACAAATCCTCTCATAATATGCAGGTTACATTTGTGACAATCTGCACATAATGTGAAATAGCAAATGAACTCATAACAAAACACAGTATTCTTAACCCATGGCAAGTAGATTTCAGGTTAAAAAAAGTTCAAATAGTGCATTAATAAAATGCTTTAACTCTGTCTACACATCTCTAGAAAACAATACATATCCAGTACACCTCTTCATTAATTTAAGAAAAGCTTTTATTAATAGAGCAGACTACAATATTGTACTCCTCAAACTAGAACATTATGGATCAAGAGGCTATGCACTGTCTTGCATCACATCCTACCCAAGTGAGACTACATCTGTAAGTGACAATTTTTACCTACTTATCTACATAGGCAGTGTCCTATGACCACTGTTTATTTCTCTTTTACATCTTGACACCCAAAACCAGTTTTATTTTCAGTAACACCAAATACAATTGGTTAAGGGCTTTTGATCGAAGGAATTGAACCTGTTCTTGCCTTCCTTGAATTGAACCTAATTATTTCTCATTCTCCAGGTGCTCTATGACCTCCCCTGTAGGTTTAGGGCTTCCCTAAATACGTATAACGAATTATAATCATTATCGCTGATGAAATAGAAAAGATATTTGCTTGGCAACTAAAAATTAATATTCACTGTTGATAAGAACTGCCATAGTGTTTAGTAATGAAGTTAATTATTTTTTAACACACCTCTCTCCCACTGAGATACAGTGACCCGAGAAAGAAGAAATACTTCAAACATCACTCGCTCTACTGTCTTGCCCGAGGCATGCTGATACTACAGTTTAGATGTCCCTTCTGACAGCAATATCCCCACCCTCCTTCAGTGCAGGCACTGCATTCCCACCTCCAGGACTAAAGTCTGGCTAACCGGTTGATACCTTCACACAAAACTCGCAAGCAGTTCCCACCACAAATGCACCATCTTTGATTATATCTAGCACTTCCATTTTCTTCAATAATGTCATTGATTCACACATATTTTTATTCTTAGTAAAAAAATAACCACAGAGTGGTGCACAAATTCCTTTCAGAATGAAACTAGGTAGCATGGGTTGTCAGTGAGAGGGATGGAATCCTGCATTACTGTAGTATAATACAATTTTTTTTGTGTAACTTTGTTTTAGAAGTGTGGTATCAAAATTTCACATGTTAGCCATTTCTTTCATGCTTTATGGCATTAAGTATCAAGATTTTTGCCTGTTAGGATTTTTTTTTTTTTTTTTCACTTTTCTGAATCGTGTTGTAAGACACCCACCTAACTTGATGCATTGAGAGGATTTACTATATGTTTACTATTAAATTACTTACCTTATTTTGGTTGGTACTATATTCAAATCTTTCCTTGCAGGTAAACTCTCCGGATGATGAGGGTATTCTTGTGGGCAACTGGAGTGATGACTACAGTGGTGGCTGTTCCCCAACAAAGTGGGGTGGTTCTCAGCTTATTCTTCAGGAATACTACAAGACAAAGAAGCCAGTCAAGTATGGACAATGCTGGGTGTTTTCTGGCGTAGTCACGACTGCCTGCAGGACACTGGGCATACCTTGCCGTTCTATTACCAACTTCTCGTCTGCCCATGATACTCACAATTCCCTCACCATTGATACCTTCTTCGATGACAATGGAAAAGCAATTGAGCATCTCAACTCTGACTCTGTGTGGAATTTTCATGTTTGGAATGAAGTGTGGATGACTAGGGATGATCTAGGGGCGGAGTTCAATGGCTGGCAGGTTATCGATGCTACACCACAAGAGGAAAGTGATGGTGAGAGTCTGTTATAATGTTTTTATACCTATAAAGGAAATATTCGTGAAAGAAATAACTTTTTTAATACTGTGAATTTTGAACCATTCATGCTTGAAAGTACAATACACAAATTCCACACTATACAGTACTAGAATTTAGCTGTTAGATATTTTAAAACAGAAAATTAGAATAGGGTGTAAAATAGATTTATCAGTTTGATGTCAATACTAACAAACTTTGAAACTACTATAATATTATAATAATAGTAGTAATAATTAGGATTTTGTTACTCTTGAGTACCTGTTTCAAGAAATTCACAAGTGCTTGCACATCAATTTATAAATGAAGCAATAACAATGATGAAGAAGATATACTCAAGTTCATTTAAGAGTAACAGTCTGATCAACAGGATGAACAAATGCCTGCCTCATAACAAACCCTGACAACCAGTTGAATAATCTAGGAGCTGCATAAGACACTTAAGAATGAATGTTTTCAGGAACTAATCCTACTTCATAAATTAAAATACCTGCCACCTACAGGTATTTTTATATTATTTTTTTTATTAACACACTGGCCAATTCCCACCAAGGCAGGGTGGCCCGAAAAAGAAAAACTTTCACCATCATTCACTCCATCACTGTCTTGCCAGAAGGGTGCTTTACACTACAGTTTTTAAACTGCAACATTAACACCCCTCCTTCAGAGTGCAGGCACTGTACTTCCTATCTCCAGGACTCAAGTCCGGCCTGCCGGTTTCCCTGAATCCCTTCATAAATGTACTTTGCTCACACTCCAACAGCACGTCAAGTATTAAAAACCATTTGTCTCCATTCACTCCTATCAAACACGCTCACGCATGCCTGCTGGAAGTCCAAGCCCCTCGCACACAAAACCTCCTTTACCCCCTCCTTCCAACCTTTCCTAGGCCGACCCCTACCCCGCCTTCCTTCCACTACAGACTGATACACTCTTGAAGTCATTCTCTTTCGCTCCATTCTCTCTACATGTCCGAACCACCTCAACAGCCCTTCCTCAGCCCTCTGGACAACAGTTTTGGTAATCCCGCACCTCCTCCTAACTTCCAAACTACGAATTCTCTGCATTATATTCACACCCCACATTGCCCTCAGACATGACATCTCCACTGCCTCCAGCCTTCTCCTCGCTGCAACATTCATCACCCATGCTCACACCCATATAAGAGCGTTGGTAAAACTATACTTTCATACATTCCCCTCTTTGCCTCCAAGGACAAATTTTCTTTGTCTCCACAGACTCCTAAGTGCACTGCTCACCCTTTTCCCCTCATCAATTCTATGATTCACCTCATCTTTCATAGACCCATCCGCTGACAACGTCCACTCCCAAATATCTGAATACATTCACCTCCTCCATACCTCTCTCCCTCCAATCTGATATCCAATCTTTCATCACCTAATCTTTCTGTTATCCTCATAACCTTACTCTTTCCTGTATTCACTTTTAATTTTCTTCTTTTGCATACCCTACCAAATTCATCCACCAACCTCTGCAACTTCTCTTCAGAATCTCCCAAGAGCACAGTGTCATCAGCAAAGAGCAACTGTGACAACTCCCACTTTATGTGTGATTCTTTATCTTTTAACTCCACGCCTCTTGCCAAGACCCTCACATTTACTTCTCTTACAACCCCATCTATAAATATATTGAACAACCACGGTGACTTCACACATCCTTGTCTAAGGCCTACTTTTACTGGGAAATAATCTCCCTCTCTCCTACATACTCTAACCTGAGCCTCACTATCCTCGTATAAACTCTTCACTGCTTTCAGTAACCTACCTCCTACACCATACACCTGCAACATCTGCCACATTGCTCCCCTATCCACCCTGTCATACGCCTTTTCTAAATTTCTTGGACTATTAATAAAATATCGTACTACATGTAATTATTGCATAATGTAATTACACGTGGTATTTGCAAATAAATTTACAAGTAGACAGGACAGGAGATAGGTAATGAAATTATAACAGGTAAGTGGCACAAAACGAAATGGCTGAATAGTTAAGGCATTGGATTGTTAATCCAGTAGGGTCTCCCCACGTGGGTTCGAATCCCATTCTCAATGGAGCTATATGTTTATTTTTGTAGGTAGTAGGTTGGTATACAGCAGCCATTCGGGGAGGTACTACCATCCTACCAAGTGAGTGTAAAAAGGAAGCCTGTATTTGTTTTACATGATGGTAGGATTGCTGGTGTCTTTTTTCTGTCTCATAAACATGCAAGATTTCAGGTACATCTTGCTACTTCTACTTACACTTAGGTCACACTACACATACATGTACATGTTTATTGTATACACACTCATCTGAGTTTTCTTTGATTTTATCTTAATAGTTCTTGTTCTTATTGCTTTTCCTTTCATATCCATGGGGAAGTGGAATAAGAATCTTTCCTATGTAAGCCATGCGTATTGTAAAAGTCAACTAAAATGCCGGGAACAATGGGCTAGTAATCCCTTTTCTTTTATAGCCTACTAAAACGAAAAAGAAGAAAGCCGTCACAGTGGGATGTTTGAATGTGCGTGGATCTTGTGCGAATGATAAGAAAGAGATGATTGTGGATGTTATGAATGAGAAGCTGGATGTCCTGGCTTTAAGTGAAACAAAACTGAAGGGGGTAGGAGAGTTTCAGTGGGGAGAAATAAATGGGATTAGTTAGAGCTAAAGAAGGAGTAGCAATAATGTTGAAGGATATTTCCTTGTCATAATGATCCTTTATGTGGGTCTCTGTGAAAGCTGCAAACATTGCATTTGACTCCTTGAGCAGTCCCTTGATGTAAGGAATTTTGTTGTTTTTTGACGGCTTTAGACCCTGTATGTTTGCAAAGACAAATGTCATTATATTGGTGTAGAGTAGAGGCCAATGTCCGTGCCTCTGCTCCAGAAGTGTTTTCAGTTGGTGTAGGATTATTGTCATTTCTTGCCAGTCTTTTTTTCCCTCCTAGCCCTAAAAAACCTTGTCCCTGGAGAGGTTATGGCTCCTCTCTTTTGTTTCCCATAGTCTGGCTGGTCTGTGTCTTCTAGCCCCCTTTAGATGATGTGCCTGGCAGTATGCATTGTAGCATTTTCTTTCATGGATTGATGAGTGACACATTTCTGGGTGAAATAAGCTACAGAAGGGGAAGTTGCACTCTCCTGTTGTCATGTGGGTGCAGCATTGTTTTGGGATGGTCAAAGGTGCATGTCCCACCAGTTTTACCAGATTTACCATGCCTGTAGATACCCAAGGCATAGTATTTACATATAGTATTGTAATTCTGTTTCCTAGGATTTATTGTAGCTGCATTTGCTGGTGGTGCATTTATTTTTCCTGTTTCCTCCCTATCTTTCACCCCTGTATGGGCATCAGTGCTTCCACCAGTTTTGCTGGTAGTGTGTTGACACTGTTCCCTGAGTCATCATTCCCTTTTGGTCCATCTCCAGCTGTGTCTATTTTGAACCTCTGTGGACCAAATAGCATTGTCTTCACTGCCCTCCAGGACAACACTAGTAACCTCACAAGCACTGTCTTCCAGGACATCACTAGCACTCTCAGGAGCACTGTCCTCCAGGACTACACCAGCACCCTTGGCACTGTCCTCCAGGACTACACCAGCACCCTCAGCACTGTCCTCCAGGACTACACTAGCACCCTCAGCACTGTCCTCCAGGACAGCACTATCACCCTCAGGAGCACTGTCCAAGACAGCCCCGCCCCTACCACCCATCGTATTTTCCCAGGTGTCATATCATGCTGACATGTCTTTCAAGAAGATCTTTTAATATAGATGTCATTTCCTCATACAGGTGTATCTCATTTGGGCAGACCCAAAAACATCTCTCTGAGTTTATGTCACGTGTGGTCACTGGTTTAAAATCCCTGCATATACTATGGGACCATTTACCACAGAGATGACAAGCAATCCAGGCATGTTTTCGTCCCTTACCCTTTCTGCAGACTACACAGAGCTTCATGGTGGTGGTCATCTTACAATACTTGACAACTCTCCTAACTAGGTAGTCTATAATTCCTAGAAGTATTTAATTTTTTTCTCTAACAGATCTTTCAGTTTGGCTTTATTTCCAACGAAAACTATTTAAATCCACCCGAATCCGGCGAATCCAGAAGAATCCGGTTTGTGGATCACTATATATTTTTGCTGATAATCACCTTAACAGTAGAGCTGTCAATCTGTATTGTATCTATTTGTTGTAGTTACTGTTTGGATGTTTGATGAGGGTGCGTAAAGCCCCGTCAGTTAATGAAACCAGTCGAATACAGTGGACCCCCGCATAGCGACCTTAATCCGTGCAAGAGGGCTGGTTGTTATGCGAAATGTTCGGTATGCGAATGAATTTTCCCCATAAGAAATAATGGAAATCAAATTAATCCGTGCAAGACACCCAAAAGTATGAAAAAAAAATTTTTACCACATGAAATATACATTTTCCTACACGCAAAGAGAAGGATACATGCACAATAGTAGAGTAGTACATGCACAATATATATTGTGCATGTACTACTCTACTAAATGAAGAATAAATGACACTTACCTTTATTGAAGATACAGCAATGACTGATGAGACACTGTGTCCTGGGAGTGCCTTTTCCTCCTGAGTACTGTAGGTCCTGTTTGGCATTTTCTTCCAGAACATGCCTTATCACACTGTGTATGCCACTACGATTCTTAAATCTCTCAAACCAACCTTTGCTGGGTTTAAAATTCACCAATATGAGCACTAGTTCCAGGCATTTTTCCATGTTCACCTGGGTGTTAGTCGACTGGTGTGGGTTGCATCCTGGGAGACAAGATTAAGGACCCCAATGGAAATAAGTTAGACAGTCTTCGATGACACTGGTTATCCTGGGTGGCTAATCCTCTGGGGTTAATTGTTTCTTGGTATTCTCAATAAGCCACACCAACAACGGTGCTACAGCAGCAGCAGCAGCTGACGGTGGTACAGCAGCAACAGACGATGCTACAGCAGCAA